AAAAAAAAAAAAAAAAAAAAGAGGTAAACACAAAGCAAGCAGAAGGAAGGATGCAAATAATAAAGAGATGAAATTAGTAAAATTGTAAAACAGATAAACAATAGAGGAAATCAATTAAATCAAAAGCTAGTTTCCTTAAAAGATCAATAAGATTGATAGGCCTTAGTCAAAGTGAGGAAAAAGGAAAAAAAAATTTACCAGTATCAAGAATAAAATTAGAACACTACTATAGCTCTTACAGACATTAAAAGGATAATAATGTAATAATATTATATTGAACAAATTAATGACCATAAATTTATTTAGGTGAAATAGATGCCTTAAAAGACACAAACTACCAAAGTTTTCTCAAGAAGAAGTAGACATCCTGAATACCCTATATTTTATTTTAAAAACAGAATTTGTCATTACAACAATTTCAACAAAGACAACTCCAAGCCTAAGTGATTTTACTGGCAAATTCTTCCAAATGCCAGGTGCGGTGGTTCACTCCTGTAATCCCAGCACTTTAGGAGGCTGAGGTGGGCAGATCACCTGAAGTCAGGAGTTTGAGACCTGCCTGGCCAACATGCTGAAACCTCGTTTCTACTAAAAATACAAAAAACATTAGCTGTGAGTGATGGCACATGCCTGTAATCTTAGCTACCTGGGTGGCCAACGCAGGAGAATTGCTTAAACCTGGAAAGCAGAGGTTGCAGTGAGCTAAGATCTCGCCACTGCACTGCAGCCTGCGTGACAGAGCAAAACTCTGTATCGAAAAAAAAGAAAAATTCTAGGTTGGGCACGGTGGCTCACGCCTGTAATCCTAGCACTTTGGGAGGCTGAGGTGGGTGGATCACCTGAGGTCAGGAGTTCAAGACCAACCTGGCCATCATGGTGAAACCCCATCTTGAAAATAAATAAATAAATAAATAAAAATTCTTCCAAACATTTAAGGAATTAATAATACCAATTTAAGGTAAACATCTCTAGAAAATAAAAGGGAAGGTAAACACTTCCCAACTCATTATCTGAGATCAGCATTATCCTGATACCAAAACTAGCAGATACTACAAGAAAACTATACATCAATCTCTCTCAAAATGTGAATGTAAAAATTTCCAATAAAATATTACTGATCAAATCAGCAATATATTAAAATGATAGAATCATAAATAAGTTGGGTTTATCACAGGAACGGAAGGTTGGTTCAACATTTAAAAATCAATGTAATTCACTGTATCAACAGACTACATAAAAAAATCAGGTGGTGCACACCTATAATTCCAGCTACTGAGGCCTGGCAGAAGTGGGAGGATTGCTTAGGCCCAGGAGATCAAGGCTACAGTGAGTAGTGATAACACTACTGCACACCAGCCTGGGTGACAAAGCGAGACTCCCTCTCAATTAAAAAAAAGAAAAGAAAGAAAATATATATGATCATCTCAATAGATGAAGAAATGCATTTGACAAAATTCAACATCCATTCATAATTTTTAAAAGCAAACGAAAACACATCTAAGCAAACTAGGAATGAAAGTGATTTTTCTCAGCCTCCTATTAATAAAAGGCTCTGTGTTAGATACATATGGCTGCATAATAAATTACCCCAAAACATAACAGCAAACACTCGGCTTCTCGAGGTTGGGAACCCGGGTATGGCTTAGCTGGGTGCCCCTGGCTCAAGGTCTCACAAGGCTGAACTTGTATTGTCAGCTGGGGCTACAATCTCGTCTGAAAGCTCACTGGGGTTGGGTGGTGGGGGGGGATCCACTATCCTCAAAAGGCTACAAACGGTCGGATTTCATTTTTATGACATTCTGGAAAAGGCAAAAGGAAAGAGACAGAAAACAGATCAGTGGTTCTCATTTGCAAACAGTTTCAGTTCACAGACCACCTCTAGGTCTTCCCTGTACTGGATTTCCAGAGCAGCCACCAGCCCTCTCTCCTCAGTTCCAGGCTCCTTTCTGAACCCTACTTGGAGTTACATTTAGTAGTATGGTGCTTGACACGGGATTGGCCCCTGTTTCATAGACACTGTGTTAATTTTCTCTCCTCGAGAACTGCTCCCAGGGCAAGTACCCGCGTTGATGCTGGCACTGGGAACGGGGCGGATGATAAAGTGGGAGGCAGTCTGCCCAGTGGCAACTGACCTGATTTCATGATTTCCCCAGGTCCATCCGATTCCCGCCAACGTGCTCAGACTTGAGCAGTAGGAGTCGGCTGGGAGAAGGATGGGGGAAAGGAACCGAAAACAGTTAAGGGAGCTTCTGCAAGCTTCCACCTCCCACACTAAAAGAGTCGGACAGCAGAAGACTGCAGCGGAACCTTCTCTGCTGGGGGAGGAAAGTGCTGACTTTAACCAGTTTCTGCGGCCTCGCCTTCCTCTTCTTTCCTTTCTCCCTCTCATTCATTCACTGACGCCGCAGCGCTGATCAGCCCCGGCACAGAAGCGGCCTCCAAGGGACTAAAGGGAATAACCGCAGCTCTGAGGTGTGGGGACGGCGGCTCGGGGGAAATGTGGGCCGCGCAGGAGGGGCCCCCAGCGCAGGCGTCTTCCCTGCAGACGCGGTTACAGCTGCGCTTTGCACGGCCTGCGGGAGTCTGCAAATCTAGCAGGTCTGCTCTCCCGGGAGCGGGACGTGCAGACACTCGGCCCGCGGTCAGGACAGCTCCCGTGGACGGACGGAGGCCCCCGGGGCGCTTCCCTGCAGCCGGGACCGCGTCCGAGCTGGGCCAGGCCGGGGTGGGAAGCCGCGGCCCCGCGGCCCCGCCCAGGCCAACCCGGGGCGGGGGCCGGTTCCCATAGGGATCGCGGGCCAAGCCGCTGCGGGCCGAGCCGGGCGAGAGGGAGAAGGCGAGGCGGGAGCCAGGCCCGGCCCAGACCGCCGAGGCGCGGTGAGTCCCCGCCGGTAAGGAGGCGCGGGCAGTCCCGGGCCAGCACGTGGCGCCGCTCCACGCTGCGCGGCGTGGCCGGGGTGCAGGTAGCGGTGCAGGAAGGTCTTCCCGGTCCCGGGGGCACGGGCGCGGGCGCGGGCGCGGGGCGCGGGGTGGTCTCCTGCGGCCGGGCCTAGTCGCCGCCCCCGCGGGGAGCGGGAGGTGTCTTCTTGCCGCAGGGAAATGAGACCCGAAATTAGAACCGGGGAAGCCCTTCGCCCTCCCCGTGCTCCAGCTCATGTGTCTTAAGTCGGATAAACTACAGCGTTAAAAAGATAGATTGTCTTACAGCTCGGCTTGTTTTAGGAAGGCAGGTTACATTTTAACTTGCAGGGTATTTAACTGGAGATTAAAATCGGGTTACCCCAAGCAGCGAACTCTAGGCTGTTATTCCTTATCGCGTTGCCATTGCCGACACGGGGCCACTTCTCATTCCTTAACGTGTGCTGTTCTGTTCTAGACCCGTGACAAACACCCATCGTTGGGTGGGGCTCTAATAAAGTCCGTTCGTGCCAATATTTTATAAGCGACGTTTTCAAACAATGTGAAGATCCTTTTTTTTTTTTTTTTTTTTTTGATAGAGTCTCCAACTGTCGCCCGGGCTGGAGTGTAAAGGTGCGATCTCGGCTCACTACAACCTCCGCCTCCCGGGTTCAAGTGATTCTCCTGCCTCAGCCTCCTGAGTAGCTGGGGACTACAGGCGCCCACCACTACACCCGGCTAATTTTTTGTAGTTTTAGTAGAGTCGGGGTTTCACTATGTTGGCCAGGCTGGTCTCGAATTCCTGACCTCGTGATCCACCTGCCTCGGCCTGCGAAAGTGCTGGGATTACAGGCATCAGCCACCGCGCCCGACCGATGATCTGATCCATTTTAAGATTTATTCCTCTACGATGGAGAAGTATGAAAAAATTGGGAAAATTGGAGAAGGATCCTATGGAGTTGTTTTCAAGTGTAGAAACAGGGACACGGGTCAGATTGTTGCCATCAAGAGGTTTCTGGAATCAGAAGATGACCCTGTCATAAAGAAAATCGCCCTTCGGGAAATCCGCATGCTCAAGGTAATTGATTCACTTTTCCTTTTTTCTTTTTCAAGATAGGGTCTCACTCTGTCACCCAGGCTGGAGTGCCGTGATGTGGTCATAGCTCACTGCAGCCTGGAACTCCTGGGCTCAAGCCATTCTTCTTCCTCAGCCTCCTGAGTAGCTGGGATTACAGGTTCTAGCCACTACTACAGGCTCCACTTTTTAAGTGAATTTTTAGGGATGAAAGAAATAAAATGAGTCATGTTATGTTAAAAGAATGTCATGGCACATGGTTATATCCTACTTGATAGCCTTTTGACTTCAGTGACACAAATGGGATGTTTGTGCACAAGTCACTAATTATATAATGAACTAGAAAGGAGAAACAAAAGTGCCAGGTAAGGTGGCATTCACTTTTAGAGATGCTGTGCGACATTTTATTTTTTTTCCCAATAGTTTCTCTCCCACCTGTAGGCCTGGCTTTTCAAGGGCCATCACAATTTGATAGTTTTGGGGTGTAAGAAAATTCAATTTTGCTAGCGTTGTTGATTTTTAAACTTCTAAGGTATTTTCTATTGGTATATTCAGCCTATTAAGAGAATTAATCATCTACCTGTTTTCAGACTGCTAGGAAGCTCACAAGTTTTCATTACACCTCATATGTATTTACTGCTGAGCATCATCATGTCCTGTTTCTAGAAAGAAGCGTTCTTCTTAAAGAAGTGAAATGATCACTTTTTAATTATTTTTTACTTTTTGTAGAGAAGGGATCTCACTATGTTGGCCAGGTTTGTCTTGAACTCCTGGCCTCAAGCCATCCTCCCACTTTGCCATCCCAAAGTGCTGGGATTACAGGCATGATCCATCAAGCCTGGCCTGATCACTTTTCTTTTTTTTTTTTTTTTTT